AAGGGACTGGGGTCAGGTACTGTGGCCAAGCCACATTGTCCTTGCCTATTCTTGCCAAGGGCAAGCAGGGGGTACCTGACACCACTGACTTGCTTCCTTCCACTCCTACTGACACCTGGGCACTCCCACTGCGCTCCCATCTCAGCAGCCACTCTGGGTATCTGAGCATCTCTCTGGCGAATCCCAGCGCTGTCCTGGCACCCCCCCCCCGTCAGCGGCTCCCTCTCAGGTTGAGCTGACCCACACTGAAGTGGCATCTGCAGCCTACACCTGCCCCATCTCTCTGCAGGGATCCAGCCATCTCCTGGCTGCCTGGCACTACCTAACCTGCTCCCTAGCAGCCCATTCATCTTCTGGGTTCCTGTCTCCATGCTCCAGTGTCCGCCCAAGCAGGAGAGCGAGTCACAGCCTGAGAACACAGGCAGTGCTGGCGCCGCTCCCGACCTCCCGGGCGACGGCAGGATGCAGCAGCCCAGGGAGCCAGCAGGCCATCAGAGTCACTCCCTGGGCTGTGCTTTCTCTCAGCCCACTTTGGATGGCTACCCTCAGGTCAGGACACTTCCTCGGGGCAGTCCTCCTGGAGCAGCTGGCACACACCCTGCCCCTCACCTTCCAGCACATACCACAGCTGTCTCAGGGCAATTCCATGCAAGTCACTGTTTCTCTGCTCCCTGCTGCAGTCCCAGCTGTGTCTCCAAGGTCGGAGCTGCCTGAACTGAGCATGTGAACCCCATGGGTTCTAGCAGGGACTGCCTGGGGCCTGTGCCCATGGGACCACTCACCATCATGTGACCCCCGAGTCCCCTGGACACTCATTCAGCCTGCTCAGCTTGGACAACTCGAACAATAATACCCAGGATTCATACAAAGGCACATGGGAAAAACGGAAGGAGAGTGTGCAGCTAAAAAGCCCGGCTCTCCCGGCGCGGTGGCGCAAGTGGTTAAGTCCTCGCCTTGCACGCCCGGGATCCCATATGGGCGCCGGTTCTAATCCCGGCAGCCCCGCTTCCCTTCCAGCTCCCTGCCTGTGGCCTGGGAAAGCAGTTGAGGACGGCCCAAAGCTTTGGGACCCTGCACCCGCGTGGGAGACCCGGAAGAGGCTCCTGGCTTCGGATCGGCATAGTATCGGCCCGTTGCGGCTCACTTGGGGAGTGAATCATCGGATGGAAGATCTTCCTCTCTGTCTCTCCTCTCTGTATATCCGCCTTTCCAATAAAAAATAATAAAAATAAATCTTAAAAAAAAAAAAAAAAAAAAAAGCCCGGCTCACCATGGGCTCCAGATTACTGCTGGCCTACACCGACATCGCTCGACAGCACACAGTGGAAGGGGAGGGAATGTGTGGCAGGAGATGCCAGGCAGGGCCTGCTGCCTCTCCACTCAAAAGGAAACTGGGCCCGTAGCTGGTGAGCCCTGTTATCAACAATAAACAGGGCTTTAAGAGCTTCAGCTGTGTACCTCCAACAACCCAAGTTGGAATCCCAGTGCTGGGGCAGCCTTGTGGTGCAGCAACTAAACTGCCACTTAGGACATCCACAGTTCATCGGGGAGTGCCTGGGTTCAAGTCCCGCCTCTGTCTCTAGATCCAGTTTCCTCCTAATGCGCACCCTGGGAGGCCACAGCCAGGGATGGCTAAGGACTTGGGTCCCGGCCACCCACACGGGAGACCTGGATGGAGCTCCTGGCTCCTGGCTTTGGCCTGGCCCGGCCCTGCCTGGCTGCTTGGCAAGGTGTTTGGAAACCAACAGACAAACCGATCTCTTTTTGTCTCTCTACTTTCAGATAAGTAAGACTTAAAAAAAAACCAAAAAGTCCAAAATCTCCCTTTTGCAGCGGCACTTGGGCCATGATACAGGTGGGTGTCTAACCGCCTGAGGGGCGAGCCCAGCCCAAGGCACAGGCTGCAGGGAAGGCTGTATTTTGCTTTCCACATTATCTCCACAGTTCCCATGGTTAGATAAAAACATCAACAGCAATGATGTCACTTCTTGCTCACTCCCCTGAACTGGGAAGTGAGGACAAGAACTAACGACTTTAGAACTGCAAAGATAACCCAAAGCTGGGGATTGGAAGCAGCAGGCAGCCCCTGCCGAGCACACCTACAAGACTTCAGGCCACGGGGGTAACACTTTGGAGAGTCTGATAATGGGGAAGCATGTTCCATGCTGGGAGGAGTAAGCAGCCACCAGAACACGCAGGGACCTCTGGAGTTTCCCACCAGGCAAACACGGGACCAACGCACCCTGGTCCCAGGAGTACCCTGCACCCTTTGGCATGCCCCCCACCCCTTCCGTCTTTCCCTTTAAAGGGCCATACCTCACACGGGAGGCCTAAAGGAGGTAGGTGGGCCGCACTGGCAGCCTCAGTTGAAGTTGAAGGGGGTCATATGCCACCCACGGGGCACGAGGCAGGGGACCGGGGGTGCTCACCCTGGATGGTCCTCTTGAAGAAGGCTTTGCAGGCCTCACAGGATGCCACGCCGTAGTGGTAGCCAGAGGCCACATCCCCGCAGACGAGGCAAAGGCGCTTGGGCAGGGAGCTGAGCACCAGCTTGCCCCCGCCCTGCTCGCCAGGCCCAGCCCCCTCCCCATCCTCCTCCTCCTTGTGGCCTGAGTGGCAGCGGGTAGGAGCCGGTCCCGAGGCCAGGGTCACGGGGGGCTCAGGCTCGGTCTCCGAGGAGCCCTTGGGACTGTCAGGGCTGGCTGGCTCGGCCTTGATGTAGAGTGGCTCAATGCCCGCCACCTGGCTGGACATGGCGCTGGTCACCTGCAGGGAGAGACCTGTCAGGATACACAGGCAGGCCTGGGGGAGACACCCTGCCACCAGGGTTGCCCAACACTGGGCGAGGGGCCAGGCGTCCAGGTCCTGCTAGGGGGAAAAGGGGGCCAGAGTCCAAGGCATGGCTGCCCAGGAAGAAGTGCTCCCCCCAGTGTTGCCATGGGAACCGACTCCAGGACTCCCTGCTGGAAGACTGGGAGAAGCCAGGAAGCCCCTGCTCCCTATTCCATCCCAGGCCCTAAAACTTCCAGCCCCCCCAACCCCTGCTCCGTGGGGCCCCCAGCCTAAAGCCTCACAATTCCTCCCCCTGCAAGATGTCCAGGGGACCCCGGCTGGGCATCTCCACTCAGGAGCACCCTGCGAGGCACACAGGTCCCAGAGCAGGTGTCATACTCCCACAGGGACGCTCACCCCTGGCCTACCCCCACCCCAGCCCACGGGCCTCCCTCCCTCTTCTGCAGCAAACCCACTCCGCGCTCAGAGCCGCACGCTGGCTCCCACACTCTCTCCCCAGGCCCTCACGCCCCCCCCACACACACACACAAGGGAAGCCTCACGCCTGACGCACGCACCCCGCGTGTCCCAGCACGCCCCGTCCCAGCCACAAGCCCACGGCGGCGGCAGAAGCAAACGCGGGGCTCCCTGGCCCGGGGCACGCGCTCTCCTACACCCCTGCGGCACAGGCGCGCACACACACTCCTACCCCGCGCACACCTCGGGGAAGTTGCCTCAAGTTGCTGGCTCCCCTCCCCCTCCACCCGCGGTGTGTGGGGGGGGGATCGCTACCAGGTTATATCAGGAAGTCAGCGGGGAGGACCGAAGAGGAAGAAGTCCTCCTCGGCCGGTGCGGTGACCTTTGACCCAGAGAGGAGGGGGGCCCGGGGGCGCCCCACGTGGTCTCCCCAGCCCCTTCCCCGGCAGCGAGTCCGCCGCCCCCCTGCACCCCTCATCTACAGCCCACCGACGCCCCCACCCCGGCCCCCCGATCCCGAAACCCAGGCATGCTCCGAGTGCCGGGCTGCAGCGGGGCCCGAGCCTGACCCAGGCCGGCCCGCCAGGACCCCCGACGCCGCCGCGCTCCTGCTGGACCAGGTCCCGGCCGTGACCCGGGGCCGGCCCCCCGCCCGCCCCGCGCCCGCCCGCACATGGCCCCCGCGCCCCGCCCGCCCACCCCCTCCGCCCCCGGACCTGGGGCTCCGGCAGGCCGGGCGGGCAGGCATGAGGGCCGAGCGGCCGGAGCGGCGGGGTGAGCCGAGGGGGGCTGCGGGCGGCCCCTCCTCCGTCGCCTCCTCGGGCCGCGCCGCCCCGCCGCGCCGCGTCCCCTCACTCGGCGGCGCCGCTGGCGGCTTGTAGGACACAAAAGGACATCGCGGCCGCTTCCTACTCCGCTTCCTCCAGCTGACAGCGGGGGCGGGGCCGGCCGCGCGCATGCAAAGCAGGGGGCGGGGCCCGGCGCTATGCTAATCAGACCAGCGGGGAGGGGCGGCGCCTGCGTGTCCGGCGGGATGGGGCGGAACCTGGCGCTGCCGCTGGGGCGGGCCTTCGCGAAGGTCACGCCCCGCGGTTGCGCACTGTCCTCCATGGTCGCAAAAGGGGCGTGGCTAGCGGCGCCAAGGGAAAAGGGGAGCTGAGCCGGGAGCGGGTGGAGCCAGGAGCGCTCCTTCGTCACTGAGTGGGCGGAGAGTACTGGCGGAGAGGCGGGCGGGGCGAGGTCGCTCAGTGGCCGCAGGGGCGGGGCAAGCTCACGTAAACGAGAGGGCCGGGCGAGCGGGAGCCAGGGATATCTGCATATTTATGAGGGGCGGGGCTTAGCCTGCCCGCAAGGGGGAGGCGCTGCCCCAGTCTCTCCCCTTCCCCCGCGCCCTGGGGCACTGGAGCCGCAGAGACCCGGTGTCCCCGCAAGGCTGCGCGGTCCAGAGTGGGAGCGTCAGACCTCAAACCTGCGAGGAGCCCCGGACTGCGAGTCCCTGGGCAGCAGAACAGGAGGGGACGCGGTCGGACACTGCTCAAGGTCACTGCGGTGACCGGATGAAGGTCACGAGGCAGGGCGGGGCCACGTGCGTCCGCCTCCCGCGGCTGCCACGCACGGACTCACGCACGGCCACAGACTGTTTTCTCCGGGGCTCCCGCGCACAAGCGGTCTCTTTATTTCTCCGGGGCTGCAGTCGGACACACATGGGGTCGGGCTCCGGTCTGGGGACTGGACAGGGTGGCCGGGGGTGTCAGTAGGCAGTGGCGCGCAGCCTCTTGCCCCGGCGCCTCTTGAGTCCCTCGATGTAGCGCTTCAGCTCCTTGGTCAAGAAGTGGTCCCTGCCGATCTCTGTCCGGTAGCCTAGGACCAGGGCAGTGAGCCGCATGCCAAGCTGCCTCACCAGCTGGCTCCGCACGAAGGATCTGATGGGGAGACCTGGGAAGCTCTAAGGTGCTAAGTGTTAAGGTGCAGATGGATGAGAGCCAGGGCTGGGAGCAGGCCTAGGGACAGTACTCCCAGTCCTCAACTGGACGCTTCCCTGAGACTAGACCACTTGGCATATGGGAGAGCCATTAGCCCCCAAGGAACTCACTGACTTCCTAGTTCCACCCACAGAGAGGAAGCCAAGCCACGGGAGTGTCGTTCCTGGGTCATGGAGGGGCCACTTAAGAGCCCCCTGAGACATCTGTGGATGCCAGGGAGGGAACTAGCCAGGCTGGACCCCCTAAGGCCCTTGGTGGACACTGCTTGGGGGTTGGGAGGCTCACTTTGGAGCGCCTTAGTGAGGATTTCCAACACTTCATTCTCCATGAGTTCCATCAGGGGCAGCGGCAGCTGGAGGGACAGCAAAACAGGCTCAGGTGCCCGCAGTGGGCAGGCTCTCCCATGGCCCCTCTCACCTTCCCCCCTACTCGCCCCCTCTGACCCTGTTCTGCTGCTCTGCCCAGTAGGCACGGTGGGGCGGGTGCTTGGACACATTGGTGAAGGACAGGGTCAAGGACTTGTCTGGAAGGAGAGAGGGGAGCGGTCAGTCCCACACATGCACCTGCTGCCCTTCCTCCTCCCCCCGGGGAGGGACTCCACCAGCCCAGGGACTGCCTTGTGTGGAGGTGGTAAGGCCATGGTTAACAGCCATCTGACTTCCAGTTCTGAATACCCATAGGGTGAGACCAAAGTGACAGCCAGTGACAGAACATTTTAACCCTCAAATTCTGTAAAATGGGGCCATCAGAGTGGCTGCTTGTGCAGGCTGCCATGTTTAAACTTATAATTCCCACAGGAAAGCAGAGAGGGAGAGGCCAGCACTGTGACCGCGCTGTGACCGTGGCAGGTTGAGGCACAGTGCCAGGCATTCCATATGGGTGCCAGTTAGAGTTCTAGCTGCTCCACTTCCCATCCAGCTCCCTGCTTGTGGCCTGGAAAAGCAGTGGGGGGGTGGCCCAAAGCCTTGGGACCCTGCACCCACATGGGAGACTCAGAAGAAGCTCCTGGCTGCAGGCCGTTACGGCTGTTTGGGGACTGAACAAGCAATGGAAGAGTCTCTATACCTCACATTAATCTCTTTTTTTTTACAAAAAAAAAAGGAGAGATCTTGTGACCTATGCACATTAATAAATGTTGAGAAATATTTTTGTTAGAATTTGGAGAGTAGGGGAAGAATCTAGTGTGGTGGCACAGTGGGCTATTCCTCCACCCTGTGGCACCAGCATCCATTATGGGTGTTAATTCATGTCCCAACCGCTCCATTTCCCATCCCACTCCCTGCTTATGGCTTGGGAAAGCAGTCAAGAATTGTCCAAAGCGTTGGGACCCTGCACCCGCATGGGAGACTCAGAAGCTCCTGGCTCCTGGCTTCAGGTTGGCTCAGCTCTGGCCATTGCAGCTACTTGGGGAGTGAACCAATGAATGGAAAACTTCCTTTGTCTCTTTCTCTCTGTAAAATAAGCGTATCTTAAGGAAAAAGGAAAATGGGAAGGGAAGCCACAGAGCAGGTGGGGTTGTGAATCCTAGGCTGTGCCCGACGGTGGCTCGTTACATCCTCCAGGAGCGCAAATCCTCCCACGGAAGGTCAACTCCGTGGTCTCCACGGGTGGGAGGATCCGCGTGGGCCGTCCAGCCTGCCCTGGGGTCACCCGGCTGCAGGGGCCAGCGTAAAGTTCCCGGCAGAGGGCGCCCCGAGAACAGCCGGCTGCTGGAACCGAGGCAAACTGGGCGCAGGCCCCCCAAAACCTCGGAGCGCAAGCGTCCCGGCTCTGCCTCGCGCCCCGATGTTATTAGAGCGACAGAAACGCAGATCGGCCAGTCCTGTTATCCCGTCCCCACCTCCCTCCCCACGCCGGCGAGCCAGGCCCCACTGACCGCTGGACAGATTGGATTCCTCGTCGTCCTCCTCCACGTGGCCTTCCTCCGAGCTGCCCCGGTGCAGCTGCTGGTCCAGCAAGGTGTGCTGGTCCCGGGGCTCCGACTCCAGGCGCGTCCTATCCCCTTTGGGGGAGCTCACTTCCTCCTCCCTCCAGAGCTCCTCCGGGCTGAGCCAGCCGGGAGCCGAGGTACGCACGGTGCCACCGTCCTCGTCGAACTTCTCGCAGAAGTAGGACAGCGGCAGGTGCAGCTGCGTCTGCGACAGCGTGGCCGTGGTCCACAGATTCCGGATGTCGTGCTCGCTGCTCCGCTGGGAGCTCTGGCGCTCCTGGGACTTGGGCGACACCTGCGGACCACACAGAGCGAAGGAGCCCAGGGGGTGGGGGGACGGAGGGAGAGCTAGGAGACTGGTGGGGAAAAAAAAAAATCTAGGCGCCGCGTGGGGTGAAGGATTTTTCTCACTTTAAAGAGGTTTTCCTCCATGATTCCGCCCTCAACGGACCCAGTCGCCACAGGTCTCAGGGTCACGCTCCACGAACGGGGGAGGGGCGCGGGGGCGGGCTCCCCCTCTCACACAGCGGTGGGGGTCTCGCGCCCCCAGAGAGTTGAACTGGCAGTCCCCACCCCCACCCCCGCACCATAACCCTGGATACCTGTGTCCTGCCAAACCCCCTCGCTTTCGCAATATCTGTGCGCAAAGGGGAAACGCACAGCCCACTTGGAGCCGACCCTCACGTCCTATCCTACCCAGGCACAGACCTGGAGCTGTGAGCCCAGCGTGGGAAGCGGGAAGGATCGCAGGAGGCCAGAGGGGCCCTGCTGCAAGCCAGCCCCCTCCCGCACCCCGTCTCGCTCCCCACCCCTGCTCCCGGCTAGCGCGCACTCCTGCTGCGGGGCCAACCGCCTGAGTTTATTGATGGCAGATTTGGAGGCACAGCTAGGAGGTGCTGTGAGGGCCAGACCCGGCCCCCAGGGCAGCCACACAGAAAGCCTGGGAGGGCTGAAAGGGGCTGGAAGTTAGGAGCAATGGGGCCGGGGCGGGGCTGCCGCCCCACACTGCAGCCGCGTCCGGAGAGGGCTCTTTGGTCAAACAGGCCAAGCATGCCAGGGAACCAGGGCAGAAGCAGAGCCCTTAGACAGGCCCGGGCCAGGGATCCTGCCCTACACCGGCACGCCTTTGCCTCGGGGCCGCGCTGGGCCGCGGGGCCGCGCGGGCTTCCTAACAGGGTTAGGGCGGCGGCGTCCCCGCGCTGTGCGAGGCTGTGCAAAGCCGCGCTCGCTCTGCGTGTCCGAGGACTCATCGATGAAGGCCAAGTTCTCGCCCGGATAATCCAAGGCGGACGCCGTGGGCGGGGAAGGCGTCTCGGTCTTCTCCGGGGGCGCAGGGGACGGGGGCTGTGCGGGACAGAGCGCCGGAGGCAGCGGTGGCCGCTCCTTCTCCAGAGGCGGCGGTGGCTGTGGGGTGGCGGGTCCGGCGCGTTGGGTCACCCGCGCCGTCACTGTGCCGGTCCAGCTGGCAGCCTGCGCCGTAAGGCCGCCCATCTGTGTGGGGAGGAACAGCAACCCTTGCCCAGGGACTCTGGATCGCACAGGTCCCCCCTGCAGCCTGCATGACCCCTTGATTCCATCCAAGCGTCCCCTTCTCCCCCAAAACCACTATTTTTTTTTTCAGCTCTTCCTGGGATAACCCACTGGCTGAATCCTTCCTTCTGGTAGCCTTGCAAAAGACTAATGAGTTCCCCATTAAATCTAAATTTCAAAAAATAACAAAGAAAAGTTGAGTATTAAGTATATCCCAAATACTGCATGGGCAAAACTTACAACGAAAATGTTTGCCTGAAATTCACCATTTAGCCAGTCAGGTTTTCTACATTTTTATTTGCTGAACCAGCAAATAAGTAAAAGTCGCCTGCAAATTTATCCGAGTTTGCCCTGAGGAGCAACACACACGTGCGACACTGCCATTTGGGCAACCTGCTGCAGGTGGTGGCGCAATTGAGCCTTAAGGCGCAGGCGCAGCCCCAACCCTTGGGGCGGCATACCTCCGCCCGAGTGCGACGGGACACCACTCGCAACCAGTTCCCGATGGTGGTGAGCACCGAGGCGAAGTAGGCCAGGCCCAGCAGGATCCAGAACCACACTAGCGGCTGGTAGGCTGGAAAGTCCTGCCTGGGGCCGGCGCCTAGAAGTTGACCCCCCGGGGACAAGAGTGTAAGCCGCTGATTCACTGTCCTCTCCCTAGCCAGCACCACCTCCTCCCCACCCCAGGGCAATGGGTGAATGTACACGGAAAGGTAAGTTTTCATGAAGAGGACACATGTGAGCATGCGTAGGGGAGCAGGCATGCAAGTACGCCAGAGTGCAGGCGGCACTGCAGGAATGAGGTGGTGCGTCCCGTGACGGACAAGAGGCGGGGCTGGGAGCGCGCAAACAGCCCCCAGGCCTTTGCCGAGAGGGGCAGGGCCCAAGCACGCGGAAAGGCGGCCTCACCGGCCACGTAGTCGCCGAAACCCACAGTGGTGAGCGTCACTATGACAAAGTAGATGGCCTCCAGCTTGCTCCACTTCTCCATATAGCAGAACACGAAGGTGGGCGTGAGGACAAAGAGCAGGCAGCCCACCAACAGGAAGAGCATCGCCGACAGCACTCGCACCAGCTCCGGGGGCACGTGCCACTTCTGCAGGGGAGGGGCGGTGCGCAGAACCTGGAGAGAGCTGACCGCCGGCCGTCACCCCTGCACCTTCTGCCCTTCCACCCTCTCTCTCTCTCTCTCACACACACACACACACACACACACACACACACCTCCCTTCGGGGACCTGGGGAAAGGTAGTGTGGCTCCTAGGGCACAGGCTCTCACCAGAAAGATGGCTTCAATATGACCGATGCCACGGCGCAGAGAAGAACCCAGTCGGTCCCCTACCCCAGCAAGCAAAATTCCAAACAGCGGAATCCCCACCAGCGCATAAAAGATGCAGAAGAGGCGCCCGGCATCAGTGCGGAGGGCTGCATTGCCGTAGCCTGGGCAGAGAAGGGCAGCAGAGAGATACAGGGTCTGGCATTTCCCCACACACACACACACACACACACACCCAGGGAGCTTCTTGCCACTGCCCCGCCCCAAGTCCCGGCCTCTTCCCCCACCGATGGTGGTGATGATGGTGCCTGAGAAAAAGAAGGCACTGGCCAGGTCCCAGGCCGAGTGGCTGCTGTTACTGCTCGAGTTGGTCCCAGGGTCGGCACCCTCTCCCAGGGCGGTAGCCACCTCCTGCGGGACGAGAGGCAGAAGGAGGAACCTCAGGCGTTCTTCCCGTTCTGGCCCACACCCAGCTCTGCCCTCTCCTCACCCCCGACCCCTGGGACAGACTTCTTTACAGCTCCCCAGAAGCCAGAGCCACCTGCAAGGCAGTCTGGTTGGACTTCCACAAGAGACTACAAACCTTGGTCTGTTCCCTAGTCCCACACAACAGATGTCCACCCTGGGAGCCAACTGCCTGGATGCAAACCATGGCTCTGTGTGAACCTGGGCAGGTGGGAGCACCTGCTAGATTTGTTGTGAAGAGTCCCTTAGGACAGAGTCCCTTAGGACAGAGTAAGCACCACACTTGTCAAATCCATCCCTACTGGGACTTAAACCCTGGGAAACCCCCAGCTGCCCACAGACCTCGTCCTCCTGCTGCCCCTGAGCGTGCTGGGTTTGAGTCTTGGACAATGTCACGGAAATTAGGGACTCTTCCTGCAGGAAGAGTTCCATGCAAGCATGCTCACACATGACACACACACAGCACACATATCCCAGCCCCACGAGGTCCCAGTCAAATCCTGAGCTTCATAACTCAGTAGATACAAATACAGAGGTCCCACTTGGAAACCTGCAGGTGAGGAAGCCGGGTGCGGGTGGGGACAGGGTGTGTGTCTGGAGGATGAGAGGGGTCCAGCAGGAGCCCCTCCCCAGATGGCAGATCTAGGGCAGAAGGGCAGCGGCTGTCACTTGATTTGGCCCTGGCTGGGGTCCTTTCTAACAAGTCACTGTTCAGCTGTCTGTGGAGGAAGCTGTGAATTCCCCAGCCCAGACAAGCCCACAAGCTTCCTCTCCAAACTCGTCTCAACTTCCCTTCCCTCCAACCCCCAGCCTTCTCCCCAGGGACCCCATCATGGCAAGCCAAGTGGCAGCAGCCTGGCCACCAGATTTTGAGATGATTCCATTTCCTGTAAAGAAGTGTTCTTAAATAAAAGCAAGAGGTGAAGTGTCTGATTAAAAGTGGTTTCATTTTTATTTGGCCAATACTTTTTCCATGAACTCTCTCCTGAAGGTGCCGAAAGCCCTTCGTCATCACAGGCGCTCTAATTTTTGCTTCCGACAGCTGGGCATCTGCTAACTTCATAGGCTGCAGAGGGAGCATGCCAGCTTCCCCACTTTAGTCCCCTGCTGGTCCCCTCCCTGGCGGTGTCTGGTCCCTAACCTCTGCCCTGGTTCCCTACCTTCCCTACCATCACCAGCTCTTCCAAATAGCCCCTGACAGCTCCCTGCTTGCACCTGGCACGCACCCAGAAGGTGCTGGACACAGATGGAGAGAGGGCTCCCTGTCGGCCGCACACCACGGTGATCCATCCATGGATCCGTCTTCCCTACATGGGACATTCTCCTCCACAGCACCGCCTACACCTGTTCCTTCCCAACACCCATTGCCCTCCACTCTGCATGAGGCTGTGGCACCTAACACACAGTAGCTCCACACTGTTGCACCCCCGGGAATGGAAGAGAAATGAAACCGTTGTCTCCTGCCCTTCCATCCCTGCCTCCTCTTTCCCTTCTTTCTTATCCGTGGGGGCAGGGGAAGGGAGAAAAGCACTCCAGTTCTGAAGATAAAATAGGTCAGATTCCCTCCCTTCCTCCCTGCGGTGTGGCCAGTCACTCCACCCCAACCTCTCTGAGTGCCATCCATCAGCTCGCTGTCCGGAAATGTCAGGTCACCCGCATCCCAGCCCCACTCCTCCTTCACCTCTGCCCCCCCGGGTCCTGCCTAATTTTGGGAGTCCGATAGGAAGCTGAGGTCCCTCCCTTCACAAAGAACAGGCAAGGGATGAGGTGTGTGTGTGTGTGTGTGTGTGTGTGTGTGTGTGTGTATGTGTGTCAGGGGCAGGGGACTCTTCATTTATTAAAGTTAGAGCATGAGAAAACCCAGCAGTATCGCAGTGGGTGGAGAATTGGCTCAGGGAGACACCAGTGTCCAAAGGTGACTCGCCCACCTCTGGCATCCACACTGGCACAGAAGGGACTCGCCCCAGCCACCAGCTCCTGTTCACTCATGCAGGCAGAAGGGGAGAGCTCATGGCGTTCTTGGGCCTCCCTGAAGCATCTGCGACTCCAAAAACATATAGGAATTGGTGGAGGCAGGGATGCCAGGTGGAGGCAGGGATGCCAGTTTTAGCAAAGGGAAGCATCACCCTGGGGATATGCTTGTATTTACAGAGGTATCTGTGGCTGAGTGGGCATCCACACCTCCCCTGGACGCCCTGGAGTCTCTGGCAAACTCAGCAGGTGCTTTACACCTGTACAAAGATAGCATGTTCTCCAGCCATTCCCATCAGCCACCAGCACACACAGAGAGACAGCCCTGGCACCCAGGCCTGGACCAGGCTCCATAAGAAACATAAAATGACCCCCAAGGCTGCCATGCAGGGTGTGTCCCTCCCAAAGGATCCCTGTATCCCTCAGGGATGTCACGGGCAAGCAGCTAGCACAGGGCCACCTGGCATGCTGCTGGTGCCTTGAGGACTCACCCCCCTCCCCACACGCACCTCCACGAACTGCCCCAGCTCCTGCTGGCTCACGCACAGATGGTCCCTCAGGAACTTGTCCTGGGTCTCCCCAAGCCCTCTCTGGGCCTGCTGCTCGTGAGGCTGCTCCAGGGCCTGGAACACCAGGGCACCCAGCACCAGATAGAGCAGCACCAGCGCCAGCAGAGCCAGCAGTGTGGTTCCGCGCATGGCGCGCCCGGGTGCCGGGCTGGATCCACTACCCACGGGGGGAGTCCGAGCAGGGGGCTCCTGCGGCGGAGTGGCGGTCACTGCGGGCAGAACCAGGGATTCTTCAGTCAGCAGACTGACCAGACACCCCACTTCCTCCTCCAGGATCCCCAGTCCTCCTGGCCCACGGATGTCCTGGTCACACCTCTCTGGCTGGATCCTGGGACAGGGTCACAGCAGCCTCCCACTTCAGCCTCCACCTTACCTGCAGGGGCACTCCAGGGGGTGAGAAGAGACTCTGGCACCGCGAAGGGAGAGGAAGGAGGATGAGCAGGGAGAAAAGTGCCTGAGTCTGCCTAGGGGGAGCGAGGAAATGCGGGGAACCTGGCGGGGGGCGAGGGACATGCCTTCCATGGAGAGGCAGGGGGGGCGCAGAGGGAGGCAGCGCAGGGCGAGACGGGGGCTGGCGGGTCCCTCCCTGGCTCGCGGGGCGGCGACGGTGGCACCATCCCCGCTTCTCCCTCCCGCCCGTCTCTCTTTGCTCCCAAGCTGTACCCGCCGGGCCGGGGAGGCAGCCTCTAGGGTCCCCTGCGCCCAGCCAGGCTTTCGAGGAAGCCCTGGGCGGGTCCCGCCCGAATGACAGCTAGGCGGAGAGGCGGGCAGCGGGGCGGGGAGGGCACGCGGTTTCCACAGGGCGCGGGACGGGAGGGGCGAACTGGTGCGGCAGCCCCCGAGACTGCTGTCAGCCTCCGGGAGAGCGGGAGGCAATGCCCGCGCTCCACCGGGCGGCTGCAGGTGTCGCGCCTCGGGGACTACACACACGCATCCCCGCGCCCTCTGGCACCCTGCGGGGCGCGCCGGCCCGACAGAGGCACCCCGGTCGCCGGCGCGCACGTGTGCTCTGCCTGAACCACCGCCCCGCGCCCGCCTCCGCGGACACTGCGCCCCGGCGCGGCTCTCCCCACCGCCTCCCCCGCATCCTCACGCCGACGCCTAGGAGCGTGACGAGCGGCAGGACGCACGGTTGCACTGCTCCTGAAGGCACCCACGAATCCGAGGTGGTCTTCCCTGCTCAGGGTGAGGCCACAAGGGTCCCCGTGCCTTCCATGCACTTACTGTCAGCCCCGCGGCGGCTGCGGCCCGGACTCCAGCGCGGCCTCGCCGGTGCCGGATGGGTCACAGAGGGAGCGGTGGCAGCAGCAGGGGCGGAGCGGGCGGCCGCCAGGGCTGGGACCCCCGCAACACACACACTCCGGGCGCCGAAGCCCCCTCCTCCCGCTCTTAACCCTTCCGGCGCCGCGCCTTCTGCCGAGCCGCGCCGCGCTGCGCGCTAGCCGCCGGCGCCGCCACCCTGAAGCTCTTTTCTCTACCTGGGCCCGCGGGGTTCCTCAGTCCGCTCTGGGGAGACGCAGGAGGTGGTGGAGAAGCCGAAGAGGATTCGCCGCAGGGTCCAGCCTCCTAGGCTCGGCCGGGAACCCCAACGTGGCGAGCGGCACGCCCCGGCCTGGGCAGCCCAAGGCTCCAGCCGGGCGCCTCGTTCATCTCCCGGCATTTTCCAGGCTTCTCATCTGCCCGCCCCTTGGGGACAGCCTGACCCTTGGGCTCAGAACTTAAGAGAAAGCATCCCCCGCAAGGGGATCCTAGAGTGAGGGAGAGGAACTCGCCGAGGCCACCCGAGGTCTGCCGACTGGGAAGGGGAGACCCAGGGCTGTGGCATCTTGGTTCCCTGGGGAGCTAGCCGCAGCAATTCCAGTGGGAGCTGGTGCAGCATTCTCTCACCGCCTACACGGCTCCTCCCTGCTCTCCCCCACTTCGCAGATGCCTCTGGGCTCCCCTTGCGGTCCTGGGGGTGCTCCCCTGGTGCTCCCCTGGTGTGCAGCTTAAGTCCTTAAGGCTGACTAACCGCCTGCCCACTGAATGCTCAGATTTCCAAATCTCCCTGAACCACTTCCAAAAAAGATGCTCAAGCTATATAATTAAATGTTCAAAACAGCTTGGTGGCCACCAGGATGTATCCTAAAATATTTTTTTTCTTTTCATTTAAAAAAAATGTATTTATTTTTATTGGAAAGTCAGATATACAGAAAAGAGAGAAAGGAAGATCTTCCATCCATTGATTCACTCCCCAAGTGACCACAATGGCTGGAGCTGAGCCGCTCTGAAGCTAGGAGCCAGAAGCTTCCTCCAGGTCTCCCACCTAAGTATAGTGTCCTAAGGCTTTGAGCCATCCTCTACTGCTTTTTCCTGGACAGAAAGTGGGGCCGCTGGGATATGAACCGGTGTCCATATGGCATCCCAGGGCATGCAAGGCAAGTACTTCAGCCACTAGGCTACTGCAAGGGCCCTAGCTCTTTTCTTTTTAAGATTTATTTATTTTCATTGGAAAGTCAGATATATACAGAGAGGAGGAGAAACAGAGAAATATCTTCCATCCGATGATGATGATTCACTCCCCAAGTGACCGCAACGGCCAGTGCTGCGCCAATCAGAAGCCAGGAGCCCAGATCTTCTTCCAGGCCAGGTCTCCCACACGGGTGCAGGGTTCCAAGGCTTTGGGCCATCCTCAACTGCTTTCCCAGGCCACAAGCAGAGAGCTGGATGGGAAGCAGAGCTGCTGGGATTAGAGCCAGCGCTCATATGGGATCCTGGCGCATTCAGGGCGAGGACTTTAGGCACTAGACCACCACGCTGGGTGCTAGCTTTTTTTTTTTTTTTTAGTTCATTTATCTAAAAGGTCATCACAGAGAGGGAGGTACATCCCTCATCCCCCGGGGTTTGCTTCCCAGCCAGGTCTGAGCCAACCAGAGCGGGCGCTTCTTTTGAGTCTCCCATGTGGATGCAGAGGCCCAAGGACCCAAGGACTTGGGTATCTGTCACAGCTTTCCCAGGTACTTTAGTAGGCAGCTGGCTCCAAGATGGAGCTGATGTCATGGTGGTGGCTTAACCTGCAACACCACAGCACTGACACCAGCAATTTTTGTGTCAACAAAAAACTGTCAGGGCAGGCATGTGACCCTGGTGGCTGGGATGCCCACCTCTCCCCTCAGAGTGTCTGGATTGGAGTCCTGTCCCACCCCCCTTCCCCAGCTTCCCAGTGTGCACTCCCAGAGGCAACAGGGAGTGAAGGCTCAACAAGTTGGGTCCCTGCCACCCCTGTGGGAGATGCAGCCAGGTCCCGCTCCTGGCAAAGGCCTGGCTTGGCCACAACTGTCGCAGGCCTCTGGTGAGGGGAGCCAGCGGCTGGGGGTGTCCCCGTGCCCCTCTGCCTCTGAAATCAACAGATACTTTTCTCTTTCTAAAGCAGCGCGTCTTGCCTCAGAAAACTCTTGTTGGCACGGTGACAGGAGTAGACACAGACAACATTTTCAATCAATTCCTGAAAATGAGAATGTCTACTGCCTGGCTGATTCTGTGTCTCAAGTGCCCACTCTGGTGGCTTCAGGGGCCTGGCACACCCAGGATGGCCCTGAGGCGTCAGCTCGGGCCCAAGGAGCTCTGAGGAGCTAGGACGGTCAGGAAATGGAGCCTGACACCAGGTGTGCCAGCGACACAAAAGGAACAGCCAGGGACTACACACTAGAAGTAGCCAGAGCCCCAGGACCATCAGTCACAGGGACAGTGCTGTCCCCATCTCAACTTGGTCACCCTGCCAGTGTCTCCTCTGCAGGCCAGGCTGGGGGCAGTGATGGGGAACCAGCCCAATGCCCAGGGTTAAGATGCACCATGTTCCCAGGGCCACAAAGGTGGGGGCCCGTCTTGGGGGTTGGGGGGATGTGGTTCTTGCCCAGCCCAGTAGCCTGACCTTGGCACACCAGGTCAAAGCGAGGTAAACCCAGAGGAGATGGGAGGTGGGACACAGCAGGAGGGTGGGGAGGGGCACAGACACTTTATTGACTGGCAGGTACAGGTAGCTGGCTCCAGCTGGAAGCGGAGGTGGCGATCATGCCAGGGTGCTGTGGGCATCTGGCAACCAGGGCTGTGTCCCCCCTCTCAGGGGGATGACACAAGCTCACTACGAGGGGAGCAGCAAGGAGCCAGCCAGAGGAGGTGGCGGCCACAGCCCCCAGTGGAGAGGATCCTGGGCAAGAAGCGGCAGGTAAATTTGGCACAGGGGCCTGGGGAGAGGGGACCGAGGAGGCAGACAGGGTCTAGGTACTCGCGGGAGAGGGGGCAGGAGGTGGGTCACGTCTGGGGGGTGGAGTAGAGACTGTGGTGGTGGCCGCCCACTCCCGGCACCTGGGAGAAGAGCAGGGGAGTGGTCCTTGTCTGGGTGGCCCCGCACCAACCCGGCTCACGCCCGATGGCACCATACCAGCTGCTGGAACCGAGGCTGCCTGACATGCTGCGGGCAGAGAAACAGGGTCAGTTCCAGGGCGGTGCCCGGGGCTGTGGTCACAGGAGAGGGGGAGGGGAGGCCTCCAGCCACACAGGCCAGACCATAGGGAGGGACTGAGCACAGGTGGGGGTGGGGCGAAGGGGTGCTGGGGCTCCTGCCTGGTGCTCTCGCCCTGGCTGTGTTCCCAGGAGCAGCCTTCGTCCTCACAGTGCCCCGCACGGTCGAAGAAGTAGGAACGCGAGCCGAAGCCCTGGCCGTTGAGAAGGCGGCTGGTGCTCTGTGGGAAGGGAACCCCCAGTGAGGCCTCCTCCTCTGCCAGCCCAGGGTCCCCTCACTTAGCATCCAGCCCCAGGCAGAGGAAGGGGGCGCCTCACCAGGTCCTGTGGGGGCCGGTGCACCCGAAAGAAGCCCACCAGGAGGGTGGTAGGCAGCAGCTCCCACACGAAGAGGATGAGGCCGAATACCAGGTAGCCTTTGTTGCCCAGGTCGTTGACCAGGTCTGCCTGTAGGGGAGGCAGGTGCTCAGGCTAGTCTGCAGCCTGATGATGGAAGGGCAGGGGGCAGGAGGCAGGGGGCAGGGGGCAGGGGGCAGGGGGCAGGGACCCACTCACCTGATCAGATACGTTGTACCAGTCATAATCAAAGGCATCAAGCCGGCTGCGGGGTGCCAGGGCCAGGGCTGCCAGGTTGTAGCAGGCCCGGCTGGCATACAGCAGGACCATGGCTCCGCCCATGGCAGCCGCCTGGCACACGCTGGTCCCCTGGCAGAGAGGGCAGAGGACCTTCAGAGGGAGGCTTCCTTTGCCACTGCCCAGAGACCCCAAAAGTCACGCGTGGGCATCAAGCAGCTGGACAGTGTGTGGGGGGCGTGCCCTACCTTGGCCTCCAGGTAGATGCTGGTGGACGGGGCCCGCCGGGCCACGAGGCAGAGGCAGGCGGCGAGGGACAGGGCGCAGATGACAAAGAGGGAGTCGCTCACCAGCACGCGGACCAGCAGCAGGGCCCAGGGCTGCGTCCGGCGCCGGCGGGACAGCACCGCACACAGCACGTTCACCAGCAGGAACACCAGTGACGCCCCGACGAAGGCCCCACGGACAGCCAGCCTGCGGCACATGGCACATGCCATCATCCCCAAGCCGTGCCCGTCACAATTCAGGTGACTCTCCTTCCTCCCACTTGGCAGATGGAAAAACTGAGGTTCCCCAAGGACTCCAGAAGGTGACCGACAGCTGTCAAGTCACCAGACCCCCACGTCACAGGGGAGGCAGCTCTGCCTCTGGGCTCCATGACCTTGAACGCCTGGCCTGACCTGGCTGAGCCTCAGATCCCTAACCTAGGCCGAGATGGACAACACCACCCTCCCAGGGCAGGTATGTAAGCCAGGGGTACCCGAGCACGTTCTTTGGGACCCATCAGACACCGTGCAAGTGACAGGGCTGCCGCTTGCTGCCCAAGGTCACCCGGAAGTGTTTCCATGGGCAGGAGCTTGCAGAGCCTTCTCCATTCCAGAGTGGACCTGGGGCACCCCAAAAGGTGCTTTCCAGAACCTTTCCCAGGGTCGCTACAGCAAGCTGCCCCCTGCCCCCTACCCCCGTCCCCATCCCCTTTGGTACCCACAAGCCCCTGCTCATCTCCGGCCTCCGTTTCGCCTTGGCCTTGAACACGACCTGGGGAGCAGAGATGGGAGTCATTCCTCTGGGGGGGGGATGGGGAGGACCCTTGACTTACCCGCCATCCCCCAACCCCGGCCCCCACGGTTACCTGGGCAAAGTAGAGATTCATGAGGGTTAAGGTGAAGAACTGCAGGCACACAGGACAGCAGTAGAGGAGCCAGAAAGGCAGCGGGCCCAGCCGGTTGGCCCGGGGGGTATCTCGGAAGTAGAAGGAGAAGAGGGTGGTGCGCAGGGCGGCCCAGAGCAGGCAAAGCGCCAGGAACACCGTCTGGTAGCTGAGCCGCTTGTGCCCGTAGAGCAGCACCAGCCACAGCTGGGCATACACGGAGAAGAAGAGCAAGGCGTACAGGGTGGTGTAGGCGGCCGTCAGTCCCAGGGTCACGGCCGGGGGCAGCGCGGGCACCAGGCCGGCGGCCGGCACCAGGCCAGACAGGTTGCTCTCCATGACAGTCGGCGGGCCTGCATGCGGGACAGAGTTGGGGGGCGGGGAGATAAATGCAGACGACAGGGGTACCGCAGGTGCAGAGTTGGGGAGCTGGAGTGTGGAGACGCGTGGCAGGCCCTTACCCCTCAAGGAGAGAGATTCTGGCCCTTGAGGGGCTGGCGGCCTGGACCGGGGGTCTCTCACTCCCACTCTCTCTCCTCTAGGGCAGACAGGATGGTGGGAGAGTGCGCTCTCCCCCGGCAGGCCCCGGAGCCGGGGCTGCCAAGCACGGGGAAGCTGGCCTCGGGTCGCTGCAGCCGTCCTGGGCGGCCCATCGGCTCAGGGCAGAGGTGGGGGTGCCGCGAAGGCCCCGCTCTCCGGTCCCCAACTGAGGGGGGAGGGGCTCTCTCCCCCCCTATAATTCTCCGGCAGCGTCCTCGGGATTCCGGACGCCGCCGCCCTCTCTCGGCGGCCGCTCTCCAGCAGCGGGAGGCGGGAGGAGGCGGATGCCAAGGTCCACGGGCCGCGGCGCTGGTGGCCGGGACCCCCGGCCTCGGGCTCCCCGGCTCTCCCGCTGCTCCGCCCCCTCCTGCGCCTGCGCGGGCGCCGTTCGCTACGCCAACTGCGCAGGAGCTGGCCCCTGCTCTGCAGCCGCGCGCCGCGCCCGCCGTAGAATCATTCGAGAATTGGCGCGAGGTGCGCCGCCGGCGGGCTCCCCCGGCTACCAGCAGCGGCGGGCGTCCGAGAAGGAGCTGGGAGAGGCGCCCGGGGAGGAGGGACTGTATCTCCCCCGCCACCAGCTCTTGTGTATCTGAAGAAGGGCCCACCGCGAGTTCCCACGCTTCTCTCCCCTCATCCCCAAATCGGGGTGACACCGGCAACGACTTCCCCCTCACACAGCTTCTGAGAGAAACTTCCGCCCATAGCCAAGATGGCTTCCGAGCCCCGCCTCCCGCCCCCCAACCCCGGCACCCTTAACCTGCGGGGCCCCAAAGCTCCCCCACAGGCGGTCCGCCCCCACGCCCCGCGCCCTGGGCCGGGCGGTTCCCGCTCACCTGGTCAGACGCCTGCGCGCCGCCTGCCAGACGCACAGCCCTGTGGAGCCTGCGGTCCGTCCTCACAGGGGCCCCTGTCCCTTCTCCCGTGCCTGGCCACTCATCTTGCTAGGGAGGAGGTGCCCTGTCTTATCTCGAGTGATCCCGAGATGGCGCGAGGCGGTGTCCCTTAGGCGGGACGCCCGAGGCTTCCACGCAGGAGAGGAGAAGACGTTGGAGGAGGAGGAGGAGGGAGCGGGACTTCCCGCCCGGGTCACCCAGTCCAGGCGGAACAGTAGCAGTCGTAACAATAATTGCATCCGACCGCTGAGCTTCAATTACGGCTTCACCGAATCCTTTCACCTACAGTCATCAGCACTGTTTACAAAGTGTGTACTTGGCTCCTGGGGGCAGGTGTCTCATCATCCCCACTTGACAGTGGGGGAAACCAGGGCCCCTGAGTGGCCTGAAGCGGGCTTCCAGATTCCACATGGGGACCCCGGAGACGCCCTCCCCTGCTCCCACACACGCCCAAGGCGTGAGTAAGTCAGGATCTGGGTATCTCGGAGGATGGGGAGGGACCGAGGAAGAGGAGGAGGAAGGCAGTGGCCGGCCGGGGAAGGTCGGGCAGCGGAGGTGGGCCCGGGTGGAGGCGGCTCCGCCTCCGGGACCAACCCGGCTTTCATTGCGAGAGCTGATTGGACCGGGCCGGTGACAGTTCCCGTTGCCCGAGCAACTAAGGCAGGGTGTCCTGGCTACTACAGGGAGGCAGGCGGGGACGGGGTCAGGGGCCTCGATCGAGCTTGGGGTGAGGCCTGTGTGCCGGTCCCCAACGGCGGCGGCGGCTCGGGTCGGGCTGCGGCCTGGGTAAGAGCCTGGGGATGCCCCACAGCACCCCGACTCTCCCCAGGGGAGATTGAAAGTCCCTGGGCCTCTTTGCCAGGGCCAGGAGACCCAGCAGGCCTGAAGGGGGTGGGGATGGGGTGCTAGGGTGGAAGAGGAGACCAGGGAGAACGTGTCTCGGGTGGCCACCGTTTGCCCCTCCCCCCATGTCCTGAGGCCCTCCTGTCTTGCTCCTGCAGCCCAGAGCATGTTCCAGATCCCAGAGTTTGAGGCAAATGAGCAGGAAGACTCGAGCTTTGCAGAGAGGGAGCAGCCCCCAGGCTCCCAAAGGGATGCCAGCTGCCAGCAGGAGCGGCCCGCCAGCAGCCGCCACCATGGAGGTAAGTTCTGCCCCGCCACCAACTGGCAGGGCGCCTGGATCCCTCCTGCCCGAGGGCAGCTCCCAGCACCCTGACCGCATGCAGAGTGGGCAGGTCCCAGACCTCTTGTGGGCCTCATTATCCTCTCTGCCACCCCTGGATGATCCTCCTGGTAGGACTGTTGGGTGGACAAGCTGGTGTGGACAGGAAGCACTTTGGTTTCAGATGTGATGTACAGTAAATGCTCAGAAAAAAAAAGGCAGTTGTTATGGTGATGGGATGGGGACAGCCAATCAGTGGGTTGGACAGTGAGGCAGAAAGAGGAAGAAACTCGTCTAAGTTCACACTTGCCTGGAATTTCCTCTGGGCTGTTTGCTTTCCTGGCATCAGCTGGCGTCAGCGTCCCAGCTCCCTTCCCCAGGTCCACAGGTGTGTGTCTTCCCTGCCTGTGTGGCTCACATGCCTGGCAAGGCTCTGCCATCCTGACTCAGGCAGGTGGCTCAAGGGGGCAGGCAGCTGGTGCTCACACACAGGCAGCAGACCCGAGTGGGTGGGTGGATGGCCAAGGACCACGGCTCAGGAGGTGCCCAGCACAGGCCTGGCACCTGGAAGAAGCCCCTGGAGATTTGCAAACAGTGGGCAGCCCGAGTCACTCACCACTCCCTCCCTGTTTTCAGCTGCTCCACATCCTCTGGCTGTCTCTCTCCCTTTCATTCGTACTTTCTCTAACACCCAGATTGTGTGCTTTGCCAAGCGGCTGCTCATGACAGGCACCTGTTCTCTACCTCCACCTGGCTGGTACTTTCTGACTGCCGCCTTCTGCAGCCTTCACTGCCTCCCTGAACCCCACCCTCACCCCCTCCAGCACATCATGGACTCCACGGGCTGTCCATAAACAGGCCAGCAACAAGTGCAAAATAAATTAACTCAGGGGTTTATTTGGAAAGTAGTATTTGGGGTACTGCTGCAGGCTTGGCAGTAGGAGAGGTGGGACAGACATCAAAGGTGGTGGCCCCCAGGAATGTGGCCTGAGCTGCCCTCAATAGGGATGGATGCGGAGGGCAGGGGAAGAACAGGAGCCAGGGTTTGGGCCAGGTCCAGCCACTGGGAGGCCTCCAAGTGGGACTTCCAGAGGGAGCTGGTGTCAGCACAGCCCTGTTGGTGTCCTGAGCCCAGCAAGAGGGTGGGCTGCAGAGCATGGAGAGTGAGCCCTTGGCTCCTGCACCAATGGAGGGGGAGATGGGAAAAAGGAGGACCCACCCACTGGCGGTGGGGAGGGAGCCACCAGGGTCTGTCTGTCCGTTCTCCTCTGGTGTCTCCTGGCAAAAAGACCCACACATGCCAAGGAGGAGGCCCTGCACCTCTGCCCCCTCAGGGTAGGAGGAAGGAGGCCCAGTGGGATTCCCCATGGCTGCACCCTCTGTCAGAGATGGCTCTCAGCCCTCAGCTTGCACACCTGTGAAATGGGAGCAAGCTGGCCCCACTACACAGGGCTTGTGGTTAACAGCAAAAGTGCTGGGAGCCGTGTGGGTGCAGAGGCAGGACCAGCTGTGCATCTGTGGGTCACACGGTCACTCCAGTCACGGTGGTAGTCATTGCTGTGAGCACGCCTGGGTGCTCAGCTCCCCCCAGAGCTGCTATTGGCTGGGGAGAGGGGTTGAGGTTAGGACACCACATGATCCTATGGTAAGCAAAGCTGAGGTTAGAATCTGACTGCAAGGGCCTGCCCAGCATAATGGCTCAGTAGCTAAATCCTTGCCTCGCAAGTGCCAGGATTCCATATGGGTACCAGTTCATGTCCCAGCTACTCCATTTCCCATCTAGCTCCCTGTGTGTGGCCTGGGAAAGCAATCAAGGATGGCCCAAAGCCTTGGGACTCCCATCTGCATGGGAGACCTGGAAGGAGCTCCTGGCTTCTGCCCTCGGATTGGCTCAGTTCTGGTCATTGTGGCCACTTGGGGAGTGACCCAGCAGATGGATGATCTTCCTGTCTTTTCTTCTCTCTAAAAATCATATCTGCCTTTCCAATAAAATTTTTAAATAAGTTTTAAAGAAAAAAATCACACACACACACACAAAAATAGAACCTGACTACAAGGGCCTTGGAAGACCACACTAAAGGATTTGAGTTTCTTCTTTTTTTAAAAGATTTATTTCATTTTTATTTGAATGTCAGAATTACACAGAGAGAGAGAGAGAGAGAGGATGTTTCATTTGTTGGTTCACTCCCCAGTGACTGCACTGGTTGGAGCCAAGCGTATCCAAAGCCAGGAGCTTCCAGGTCTCCCACATGGGTACAGGGTCCCAGAGACCCGAGCCCTATTCCTCTGCTTTCCCAGGCATAAGCAGAGAGCTGAATTGAGAGTACAGTAGCCGGGACTTGAACTTGTGGCCATATGGGACGCAGGCGCCAAGGAAGGAGGCGAAGTCCACTCATGCATGGCACAGGCCCTGGGATCTAGGATTTATTCTTTTCTTTTCTTTTCTTTTTAAGATTTATTTTTATCGGAAAGGCAGATATACAGAGAGGAGGAGAGACAGAGAGGAAGATCTTCCATCTGATGGTTCACTCCCCAAGTGGCCGCAATGGCCGGTGCTGTGCCGATCAAGAGCCAGGAGCCAGGAACTTCTTCCATGTCTCCCATGTGGATGCAGGGTCCCAAGGCTTTGGGCCGTCCTCAACTGCTTTCCCAGGCCACAAGCAGGGAGCTGGATGGGAAGTAGAGCTGTTGGGATTAGAACAAGGGTCCATATGGGATTCCAGGGCGTTCAAGGCCAGGACCTTAACCATTATGCTATCACGCCAGACCCGGGATCTAGGATTTATTCTAATGAAGTTCAGCATTAGGGAGCCCTTAAAGGTTCAGGTGGAAGGACAGATATGGTTGGGTTTCAAGGCAGGGGGATGTGCCTGCCTTCCACGGTCATGGCTTCCATCCCTCTCTGCTTGTATACAGCTTGTGAGCTGAGAGTGGTTTTTCCACATTTTTAATGGTTGGCCAAAAAAAGAAAATCTAACGAAAAGTATTTTGTCATACATGAAAATGACATGCCATTCAAATTTCAGTGTCCCTGAGGTGTTTGTGGCATCCAGCAAGGTGCATTCATTTACATATTTCTGCGGGGCTTTTTGTAAAGCTGTGACCACACAACTGAACAACTCATCACAGACACCAGGTGGTCCACAAAAGCAAAAACAGGACCAGCACGCATGGCGGTGGTCGCATTGTTGCTTGGGACATGTCCTACCCCAGGGCCCCTGCTTGGAGCCCCGGCTGCCCCACCCTGCATCCGGCCTCCTGCTCACATGCCCCTGGCGAAGCAGGGGGTGATCGCTGGGGTACCCCTTGCTGGGTACCTCCCTCTGCTTCCACTCCAGCTGCCTGCTGCTGCGCGCCCAGTGACATTTCCAGGTCTTGGGTGCCTGCTACTGTGGGAGGCCTGGCTGGTGCGCTGGGCTCCTGGTTTCTGTCTGGCCTGGTCCTGGATGTTGTAGGTGTTTAGGGAGTAAACCAGCTGATGGAAGAGATCTCCCTTCATGTCTGCCTTGCAAATAAAAATGAAAGTGAATATTTAAAAAAAAAAAAAAAAGAAAGAAAAACTGAGGACCTGGCATGATGGCTCCATTGACTAATCCAACCCCTTGCAAGTACCGGGATCCTATGTGGGTACCAGTTTGTGTCCCTGGTGGTCTACTTCCCATTCATCTCCCAGCTTATGGCGTCAGAAGGCAGAGGAGGATGGCCCAAGTCCTTGGGACCTTGCACTACGTAAGAGACCCTGCAAAAGCTCTCGGCTCCTGGCTTTGGCTTGGGCCAGCTCTGGCCATTGTGGCCACTTGGGGAGTGACCAGCAGAATGAAGGTCTCTCTCTCTCTCTCTCTCTGTTCTTTCTAGTTATGCCTTTCCAAGAAAATTTTAAAGCAAAACTTAGAAATTTCCAGTAGTCCCGCAATCCCAGCGGTGTCGCTCTGTGGGTGCCTTGCTCCGTGGTTAGCACCAGACTCTGTATGATGCTGTGTCCTGCATAAACTTGTCTGTGTTAAAGTTTAATTTTAGGGTCGGTGCTGTGGTGTAGCGTACTAAGTCACCGGCATCACATATGGATGCCACTTTGTGTCCCCACTGCTCCACTCCGGAGCCAATTCCCTGCTAACAGTTGGGAAAGCGGTGGAGAATGGCCCAAGTGCCTGGGACCCTGCACTCACACGGGAGACTCCGGAAGCTCCTGGCTTGGCACTGCCCTAGCTATTTGGGAAGTGATTCTTTTTTTTTTTTTAACTTAAGGTTTTTTTTTTTAAGATTTATTTTTATTATTTTTTTTTATTGGAAAGGCGGATATACAGAGAGGAGAGACAGAGAGGAAGATCTTCCGTCCGATGATTCACTCCCTAAGTGAGCGAAATGGCCGATACTATGTCGATCCGAAGCCAGGAGCCTCTTCGGGGTCTCCCAGGCGGGTGCAGGGTCCCAAAGCTTTGGGCCATCCTCGACTGCCCTCCCTGGCCACAGGCAGGGAGCCGGAAGGAAAGCAGGGCTGTTTAGAACCGGCTCCCATATGGGATCCCGGGCGTGCAAGGTGAGGACCTTAACCACTTGCGCCACCGTGGCCGGGAAGTGATTCTGTAACTCTGCCATTCCATTGCAAATAACTAAGTAAATCTCTTTTAAAAAGCTTAATTATAAATGAGGCTTGGCAGGAGATTGATGGGCCCAGCCCACTGACTGAGTGGCTAAATCTTCCCTTGCATGCACTAGAATCCCATATGGATGCTGGTTCATGTCCCAGCTGTGCCACTTCCCATCTAGCTCCCTGCTTGTGTCCTAGGAAAGCAGCAGAGGATGGCCCAAAGCCTTGGGACCCTGCAGCCATGTGGGAGACCTGGAGGAATTCCTGGCTCCTGGCTTTGGATTGGTGCAGCACCAGCCATTTGAGGTCACTTGGGGAGTGAATCATTGGATTGAAGATCTTCCTCTTGATCTCGCCTCCTGTCTGTATATCTGGCTTTGCAATAAAAATAA